GCCCCGACTCTTTCCAGAGGAACCCTCCCCACTTTTGTCTCAGTGGTTTGGATGGGGGTCCCAGTTGGGCAGGGACCTAGACCAGGCTAAACAGAATATCATTCACTCTTTTCAACAGTGTTTGGTTCATGGATGGGCACATGACCTAAGCCAGACCAATGAACTATAATTCTGGGACTTCTTCTGAAACAATTAGGGAAGAGACATTATTTTTCCACTGGAGTTGCTAAACCATAGTGTTCCCCCGGCATTATAAAGTTTTACTGCATAGATAAGGCCTACTGAGTGTGTAGCCAACCACAGGAAGGGGGAACAGAGGAACAGGGGTGACAAAGGGGAGGGTGGTGAGAAGAAATATCTGATACTTTTAGATTTCTTGGATCCAGACATGCCTACAGTTACCACTTTCAGACTTTTCTGACGTGAGGCAATTCCTTCCCTGTTTTCTCAGGCCAGTTTGTTTTGTGTTGTTTCTTGCAAACAAATGAGTCCTGACTGTACACCTCAGGTAGAAGCTGAGAATGATTCCAGAAAATGATTGGAAAATTTAGTCAAAGATGTAAATGTCCAATTGGGAGGTGAGACTGGAGCAAAGCGTGCAGGAGGCCAGACAGGAATATTCTGTGGCCTGAACTCTGGCCAAGCAGAGGAGAGCTTCTTAGTACAGAACATGGAATGCCCAAAGGAGACACACACATAGCCAGGCTCTTATTAGCACTGTGACTTTGGGCAAGTAAACTGCTAAGCTTTGGATTAGTATAAGACAAGGATAATACCCATTTTCGAGGCGGTTATCATGAAATGTAAATGAAACAACACCGTTATTCAGTGCCAGGCATTTTATATTTTTAAAATATCAGCTTCTTTAGATTCTTCTAGATATTACTTTAAAAAGTTAAAAAAAAATTTTTGTACAAACAGGGTCTATGTTGCCCATGCTAGTCTCGAACTCTTATTCTCAAGCTACCCTTCTGCCTCAGCCTCCTAAAGTGCTGGGATTTACAGGTATGAGCCACCAACCTGGCTAGATATTACTTTTTGACGTCATATTTAAAACATCATATATTTCTGGTAAATTACCTAACATCTCTACATATTTACTTATCTATCTTACCTCACAGATTGTTGTGAAGGAACAAATGAAACACCCCACTTGAAAAGCTTACTCTAGTGGCTAGCACATAAGTGTTTAATAAGAATTGTATAGGAAGTACATAGTAGGATGGTGAAGAAAACAGTTTCTGGAGTTAAATTTCCCAGATTCGAATATATTCAAATCAAAATTGTGTATAGGAAATCATATGATTAGATTCCTATCCTCCATTACTAATCCATTTCAGGTGGAGATAA